GAGAGGGAATTTTTGGAGGAGAATTACACAGGGGTCTTGAGAAGAATTCCAAAGGGAATTTTGAGAATAGTGTGAAAGAAATTATGAGAGGAGAATTTCAAGAAATGTGTAGGAGCATTCCAAGGGAAAGGATACTTAGAGAAGATAAGATAATAAAGAGAGATAATAAATAATAATAATAAAGAATGATGAGGAGAATTTAAAAAAAATAGTCAAGAAAACTCTGAGGAGAGTTCCATGATAATTTTGAGTAATATTACGAGGTAATTCTATTTTTTTTTTCCTTGATTTGTTTTCCGTCGATCTTGTTTTCCGTGCTGAGCACCAATGCACACTGGGGACAAAATCGAAACAATGTGTTAAAATTCAATAACTTCGGTGCTCGCTGGAACAAGAGACTAAAAAATAGTCATTCTTATAGAAAAAAGTCTCAGAAATCGATTGAAGTAGGTTTCATCTTGGGCACGATAGGGTAAGTTGGGGTTTTTCACAGTTTTGCCCTAAAATCTCCTATTTTGCATGATTTGAATGCTGTATCTCAAGATACCGATGATATAGACGGATAATTTCTTCGGCAAAGTTGATCAGGAGGTCAAGGACTGTTGGATGATGGACAGAACAATTCGGAATTCCTCCGCCAGGTGGCACTAGTGAGCATTCGAAGTGAATATGTTTGCGCTGCTGTATCTCAAGATCCTGACTATTTAGACGGATGATTTCTTCGGCAAAGTTGATCAGGAGGTCAAGGATTGTTGGATGATGGACAGAACAATTCGGAATTCCTCCACTAGGTGGCGCTAGTGATCATTGAAAGTGAATATATTTGTGCTGCTGTATCTCAAGATCCTGACTATTCAGACGCATGATTTCTTCGGCAAAGTTGATCAGGAGGTCAAGGAATGTTGGATGGTGGACAGAACAATTCGGAATTCCTCCGCTAGGTGGCGCTAGTGATTATTGAAAGTGAATATATTTGTGCTGCTGTATCTCAAGATCCTGACTATTCAGACGCATGATTTCTTCGGCAAAGTTGATCAGGAGGTCAAGGAATGTTGGATGGTGGACAGAACAATTCGGAATTCCTCCACTAGGTTGCGCTAGTGAGCATTCGAAGTGAATATGTTTGCGCTGCTGTATATCAAGATCCTGACTATTTAGCCGGATGATTTCTTCGACAAAGTTGATCAGGAGGTCAAGGATTGTTGGATGATGGACAGAACAATTCGGAATTCCTCCACTAGGTGGCGCTAGTGATAATTGAAAGTGAATATATTTGTGCCGCTGTATCTCAAGATCCTGACTATTTAGCCGGATGATTTCTTCGGCAAAGTTGATCAGGAGGTCAAGGATTGTTGGAAGATGGACAAAACAATTCGGAATTCCTCCACTAGGTGGCGCTAGTGAGCATTCGAAGTGAATATGTTTGCGCTGCTGTATCTCAAGATCCTGACTATTTAGCCGGATGATTTCTTCGACAAAGTTGATCAGGAGGTCAAGGATTGTTGGATGATGGACAGAACAATTCGGAATTCCTCCACTAGGTGGCGCTAGTGATTATTGAAAGTGAATATATTTGTGCTGCTGTATCTCAGGATCCTGACTATTCAGACGCATGATTTCTTCGGCAAAGTTGATCAGGAGGTCAAGGAATGTTGGATGGTGGACAGAACAATTCGGAATTCCTCCGCTAGGTTGCGTTTGTGAGCATTCGAAGTGAATATGTTTGCGCTGCTGTATATCAAGATCCTGACTATTTAGCCGGATGATTTCTTCGACAAAGTTAATCAGGAGGTCAAGGATTGTTGGATGATGGACAGAACAATTCGGAATTCCTCCACTAGGTGGCGCTAGTGAGCATTCGAAGTGAATATGTTTGCGCTGCTGTATCTCAAGATCCTGACTATTTAGCCGGATGATTTCTTCGACAAAGTTGATCAGGAGGTCAAGGATTGTTGGATGATCGACAGAACAATTCGGAATTCCTCCACTAGGTGGCGCTAGTGATTATTGAAAGTGAATATATTTGTGCTGCTGTATCTCAAGATCCTGACTATTCAGACGCATGATTTCTTCGGCAAAGTTGATCAGGAGGTCAAGGACTGTTGGATGGTAGACAGAAAAATTCGGAATTCCTCCGCTAGGTTGCGCTAGTGAGCATTCGAAGTGAATATATTTGTGCTGCTGTATCTCAAGATCCTGACCGGATGATTTCTTCGACAAAGTTGATCAGGAGGTCAAGGATTGTTGGATGATGGACAGAACAATTCGGAATTCCTCCACTAGGTGGCGCTAGTGATAATTGAAAGTGAATATATTTGTGCCGCTGTATCTCAAGATCCTGACTATTTAGCCGGATGATTTCTTCGGCAAAGTTGATCAGGAGGTCAAGGAATGTTGGAAGATGGACAGAACAATTCGGAATTCCTCCACTAGGTGGCGCTAGTGAGCATTCGAAGTGAATATGTTTGCGCTGCTGTATCTCAAGATCCTGACTATTTAGACGGATGATTTCTTCGGCAAAGTTGATCAGGAGGTCAAGGACTGTTGGATGGTAGACAGAAAAATTCGGAATTCCTCCACTAGGTTGCGCTAGTGAGCATTCGAAGTGAATATGTTTGCGCTGCTGTATATCAAGATCCTGACTATTTAGCCGGATGATTTCTTCGACAAAGTTGATCAGGAGGTCAAGGATTGTTGGATGATGGACAGAACAATTCGGAATTCCTCCACTAGGTGGCGCTAGTGATAATTGAAAGTGAATATATTTGTGCCGCTGTATCTCAAGATCCTGACTATTTAGCCGGATGATTTCTTCGGCAAAGTTGATCAGGAGGTCAAGGATTGTTGGAAGATGGACAGAACAATTCGGAATTCCTCCACTAGGTGGCGCTAGTGAGCATTCGAAGTGAATATGTTTGCGCTGCTGTATCTCAAGATCCTGACTATTTAGACGGATGATTTCTTCGGCAAAGTTGATCAGGAGGTCAAGGACTGTTGGATGGTAGACAGAAAAATTCGGAATTCCTCCACTAGGTTGCGCTAGTGAGCATTCGAAGTGAATATGTTTGCGCTGCTGTATATCAAGATCCTGACTATTTAGCCGGATGATTTCTTCGACAAAGTTGATCAGGAGGTCAAGGATTGTTGGATGATGGACAGAACAATTCGGAATTCCTCCACTAGGTGGCGCTAGTGATTATTGAAAGTGAATATATTTGTGCCGCTGTATCTCAAGATCCTGACTATTTAGCCGAATGATTTCTTCAGTTATGGTTGATCATGTGCCACATCAAATGACGTGAGAATTTTCAAATAAGATCATTGGTAGTCATATTGAGTGTAAATAGGGTCAGACCATAGGTGAATAAATTGGGATTTTTCCGATTCATATAAGCAAGTTTGGTCTCTTAATATCCATTAAAATATAAACTACAGTAATGACCTGATTTTATCAGTCCCTTCACGCATTATTCTTTTAATGTTCAGTAATTCCCTATATCCATAATTCGAAATCTTTTCCATTAATCTTCTTGATCGATGTTTAGGATAAACTTTGGTGCAATAAAACCCTCGAAATAGCGCATGGGTTTCGTAGAATATTGGAAAATATATATCGGGTCATTATTGTATATATTATATCTTTACAAAAAATTCCACCGGCTGGAGCGGGAATCGAACCCTCACTCCATGGCACACGCAAAATAGCTGTTAGACGGGTGACGCCGCTAACCACTCAACCACGAAGACCACTTTGACCCGAAAATGTGAAATGTCGTCATGGAAACCCAATCGAAAAGAATTATTTGTTTACTCTTGTTTCTTGTGTGACAGTAGCTCAGTGTAGTGCAGTTCTTACGTGGTGTTAAGTGTGTTTCACTGAATTTCATTAAGCAAAATGCTGTCAAATAAAAATATCGTTGAGGAATATTTTGCGTCTGGTCGAGATAAAAACCTTTTACTTGACTTTGTGTCTAGGGCACTGTCGAAAGCACCTGCGGATGTTGCGCAAGGTGTTAAAAACTGGATTGGTCAATTTAATCGGCGATGGTCAAAAACCCACAGTAAGGATCGATTCTTTAAGAAGAATGCAGAATGGCTTGAAAGCATATTCGAGGTAAGAATCCCTGGGCGTGCTTAATTTTAGAAAGCAGCATAAATTATCGAAGAAACGTTTTAATACGATACCGTCGAACATTTAAAAAAAATAAACAGTTCGGAAAAATTGTACCTGTTGAGCAAAGTGCTAAATTTAAAAAAAAACAACGGATTCCAAACCAATTTAAATTGAACTTGAATGAAAATTAGTTAAAGCGTGGAAATGCGATAATGTAAAGCAAGACATACAACTGATAAAATCTGTTTTTGTTCTTGTTACTAAATAATCAATAGCATCAACCGCGATAAGAAGAAGATTTGTCTTTGATATTTGTATGAATATTTTAGAAAAATCCTAAACAAAAACTGCAGACTCTAAATTTTACGAAAATCAATCACATCATCATACATCATCAATTATTTTATCAGGTTGAAGACCAACCCTCAGGATCCAGGCCTTCGAAAAAACGCGGGTCCATTCAAGGAAACCCAAAGATCCCTCGTCACAATCATCTCCTATTTCACCTCCTTTTGCCACTCCGAATTTGGATACCAGTTCCAACAGTCAGCGAACACCGTCAACCCTAAAGCCTCGAGGTCGAAAGCGCAAGGAGTTTAGCCAGTTGACAAGATTTTCGAAATACAGACGCAGTATCGGACTTTTCAAAGAACAATGTCTTGATAACTTGCTGTATTCAGCCAAAATTGCTGCCATAAAGGCTGCTAATCCAGCAACTGCTCAAATCTTACAGCACTTGTTGAGCGGTGGTGAGGTTTGGGCAAAAGAGACCATCGAATCCGTTGACTCTGTTCGTGGAACATCTCTGTGTTTGGAGGAATCATCTTTGGCGATAAAATCAAAACTTGGGTTAAGTAAAACCAAATATGGAGAGCTGGCTCGATTCACTAAGAAGCATCTAGGTATGACAGTTTAATTAACGTATATATATAAAAGAAATACTTAGTAGAACATTTTTTTGTTTAAAATAGGTCAAGTTTCTAAATCTTTGATCAATTTTAGAGATGTGCATTGTTATTAGTCCCTTCATATTGTCCCATTTAGGTATTGCAATTTTGCAGCCCTGGAAAAAAGTAGCTGAATTTAGAAAAACCATAATTCCACCGTTCTCAACTCCAAACCGAGAAAAAGGATACTTATCATCAAGCGTTTTAATCCGTGATATGGTTATATGTGATTTGACACGGATTCTACAACTGGATGATGTAGCAGACAGGATTTCAAAGTTAAACCAGAAAGTGTTGACTTGTAAATTGCATGTCACGGCTGGTCCGGACTCTGCTACAGGTTTTACGCACTACAACCAGACTGGCTTTTTAAAAGAGGATGATTCTCTTCTCTCCGAGCATTTTATGAGCCTGTTGTTAGTATCCGAAAGAGGAGAGGATATTTGGCGGAACCCGAATCCCCAGTCAGATTCGTTCTGCAGAATACGCTCTATGAATTGGACTAAAGAGACCAACTCGCTTACCAAGTCCATGTTTGAGCAGTTTTTTGCAGAGGTTGATTCCTTGAATCTGGATCCGGTGGAAGTAATTTCCGGTGATTTACGTGTGTGCGTTTATATTTCGGCAATGTATACAATGATAGATGGGAAAGCGGCCAATGCAATTGTAGGGAATCAGGATACACATGTATGTCCGCTTTGTGTTCCGAATGCTGATCCCCATATTGGTCCATCGTTTTTTCATTCACGTCTCAACGCCGTTGAATGGTTGATCAAAAATGCAGCGAAAAAATCCGTTCCTGACCACCCGGCATACACGAATCCCCTAGTTAAAAAGAAAGCCCGTGAAATACCTGATGAACTAGAACGTGAGTATGGCATGAACATCAACCGTCCTAAGATTGGTGGGTCCGGAAGCTGCAATAACGGCAATATGGCCCATCGTTTATTGGCAGAACCCGGAAAATTTGCAAAAATCATCGGCGTACACAAGGACCTGGTGGAAAATCTGCGGCTCATCAGTTGCCTGGCGCTTTCTTCTAGAGTATTGGATCCTACCAAAGTTATGGAGTTGTATAACACTCTTGAAAAGCAGATTTTCAATGAATTCCCATACCTAATGAAATTGCCGCCATCCATACATAAGTACATGCATCTAGCAAATTTCATTGAAAAATTGGTAAGCTTAGATTTAATAGTATATCGAATCACAATCATAAATGTTTTGTTTTCTTTTCCTGCAATTGAAACATCCAGCCTTATACCATGAACTTTGTTGACGAGCAGTCCAGTGAACGTTGCCATAAGGTTTATAAATTCATTCGGCCACATCTAGCTCGGAAAACGTCTCCGGAAGAAAATTTGACCGACATGATGACCGAAGCTTTGACTAGGTCTGACCCAAAGCTTGCCTGTTTTTTTAACCAGAGCAGACAATCGAGAAGTACTGATGCCAGGTTCGAAGAGAGGCTGGACGAATACACCTTGAAACAAGATGACAGCGATGAAAACCATGGAAAAGCGGATGACTCCGGTGAACTCATCGAAGAGAGTGACGAAGAAGATGATGACCCCGGTGAACTTAACGAGGAGAGCGATGAAGAAGACATTTGAATGTTCCGTTGGATAAGTACCACAGATGTGTCCCTGTGGCTCACACACGCACGCACACACACACACACACACACACACACACACACACACACACACACACACACACACACACACACACACACACACACACACACACACACACACACACACACACACACACACACACACACACACACACACACACACACACACACATTAATTAATTAATTTAGCTTTATTTAGGAGGCTTTCAGCCTTAGGCTGGTTCGCCTCCATCACATACACACACACACACACACACACACACACACACACACATACATACACACACACACACACACACACACACACACACACACACACACACACACACACACACACACACATACACACACAAACACACACACACAATGAAGAATACATGAACATATAGTAGCACAAACATATTCATTTCAAATGGTCACTAGCGCCATCTAGCGAGAGAATTCCGGATTGTACCTTGACTTCCTTATCAACTTTGCCGTAGAAATCATCCGTATAAAAAGTCAGGAACTTGAGATACAGCAGCACAAACATATTCACTTCAAATGCTCACTAGCGTCACCTAGCGGGGAATTCCGAATTGTTCTGTCCATCATCCAACAATCCTTGACCCCCTGATCAACTTTGCCCAAGAAATCATCCGTCTAAATAGTCAGGATCTTGAGATACAGCAGTACAAACATATTCACTTCAAATGCTCACTAGCGTCACCTAGTGGAGGAATTCCGAATTGTTCTGCCCATCATCCAACAGTCCTCGACCTCGTGATCAACTTTGCCGAATAAATTATCAGTCTAAATAGTTAGGATCTTGAGATACAGCAGCACAAATATATTCACTTTCAATAATCACTAGCGCCACCTAGTGGAGGAATTTCGAATTGTTCTGTCCATCATCCAACAATCCTTGACCCCCTGATCAACTTTATCGAAGAAATCATCCGTCTAAATAGTCAGGATCTTGAGATACAGCAGCACAAATATATTCGCTTTCAATAATCACTAGCACCACCTAGTGGAGGAATTCCGAATTGTTCTGTCCATCATCCAATAATCCTTGACCTCCTGATCAACTTTGCCGAAGAAATCATCCGTCTAAATAGTCAGGATCTTGAGATACAGCAGCGCAAACATATTCACTTCGAATGCTCACTAGTGCCGCCTAGTGGAGGAATTCCGAATTGTTCTGTCCATCATCCAACAGTCCTTGACCTCCTGATCAACTTTGCCGAAGAAATCATCCGTCTAAATAGTCAGGATCTTGAGATACAGCAGCGCAAACATATTCACTTCGAATGCTCACTAGCGCCACCTATTGGAGGAATTCCGAATTGTTCTGTCCATCATCCAACAATCCTTGACCTCCTGATCTTCTTTGCCCAAGAAATCATCCGTCTAAATAGTCAGGATCTTGAGATACAGCAGCGCAAACATATTCACTTCGAATGCTCACTAGTGCCACCTGGCGGAGGAATTCCGAATTGTTCTGTCCATCATCCAACAGTCCTTGACCTCCTGATCAACTTTGCCGAAGAAATTATCCGTCTATATCATCGGTATCTTGAGATACAGCATTCAAATCATGCAAAATATGAGATTTTAGGGCAAAACTGTGAAAAACCCCAACTTACCCTATCGTGCCCAAGATGAAACCTATTTCAATCGATTCCTGAGGCTTTTTTCTATAAGAATGACTATTTTTTAGTCTCTTGTTCCAGCGAGCACCGAAGTTATTGAATTTTAACACATTGTTTCGATTTTGTCCCCAGTGTGCAATGCTACCAACGCCAGGAAGGCAGCTCCCACACCTGGACCCTACCTATCGACTCATCAACTCATGAACCGGGGACCAACGGCTGGCTTTACTTCCCTGGGCGTGATCAGAGATGTTATGCCTCAGAACATCCCGGTGGCGCCGACTGGGATTGAATCCAGGCCTGCTGGGGTGAGAGGTAATCACGCTTACCACTACACCACCGGCGCCGCTGAGGTAATTCTGATATAATACAATCTAAGGATATATTAAAGGTTTCTCTGAAGGGTATATTAATGAAAATCTGACGCATATTATAAAAAAATATAATGGAACAATTGAGTTATTGAGGTAATTTCTTGCTATTGAGGCAACTACAGTTCAAAAAGAAAATAAGAGTGATTCCGAAGAGTTTTCGAGACAAAATTCCTGAAGTGGCTTGAAGAGAATTCTTAAGATATTATGGAAAAAATTGAAAGAATTATCAGAGGGAGTCGCCAGCCAGAGGAATTCTGATATGAAATCTAATGAAATTTGGGCTCTAAATTGATTGAAAATTTGGGATGCTCCCAACGAAATTTTTACTAAAATTCCAAAGAAATCCGATGAAGAGTTCAAAAGTTGCTCATACTTAAATAATTTCGCTAGATGCACGCGAAATGCAACATTGCGAAACGGAACCCAGAATAAAAACCATAACGGCAAATAAGGCTACCATAAACATTAATTTCTGATGTTGATAGGGTTACTAAAAGTGCAAATTAAAAATGAACCCCATTGATATGCAATTCCCAACATTTGCTGACACAAAAAAGTTTGTTTGTTTTACCGTTTGCTATCATTTGAAGGGTGAGCCCCCAATTTTGCCGACAAAGTACAATTTTGGGCCACCCTGGTATTCATAGAGACAAGCGAGTCGAGGTAGGTTTGACAGTTATTTTTTTTTACAGAAATCCTCGAGTAAGTGGGGACAAGTTCGAGTTAATGCAAGCTGTGTTACCTCTTAACCGCCGAGAACTTAGAGGAATTCCAACTGCGATGGCAGTTTTGGATTCGCCAACGGAGAATTTTCCTCAGCTGTTTGACATGGTGGCTCTCATGCGCGAAGCCAAAAATAAAATCTTTCTTCCGCTGGAAGTCAAGTGAAGTTTTCAGGACTTTCAACGCTGAACAACAACGTCTCTACGAGCAATTACGACTCGTATATGATGGCTATTACCAGAATCCCTCCATGCTGGTGACCATCAAGCGCGTAAAAGCACAAATCTAGATAGAGCTGGAATTAGGGCGTAACAGCTTTTGTAAACAATGACTTCTCTCGTTGATTTCTAGCAACTCAAGGCACGCCTACACCAACCAACATATCCATCGGGTAGGGGAAGTCTTCCCCTATTCGATGGTAATATAGATTTGCCAGGGATAGTCATGCCTTTCGAGAAATTATCGAGAGAAGCCATTGTTTACAAAAGCTGTTACGCCCTAATTCCAGCTCTATCTAGAAATGCTCACTTTGCAGCCGTAGTTTGCGCAAAACTTTATCCGCATCAACGAGGCGTTTATAGCCGACGAGAACATATCCAGTTTCCAGTTGGGTGATAGACGGCGTAAAAAAAACAACTCTCGATGAACATTTCAAATGGTCCTATCTGCATTAATCGATTCTCTTCATCGACTTTCTCTTTCGTCAATAACTCAGCTGCAAAACCTTTCCCTGTTGTATTTGACATTTTGGACGCTAGATAAGAACCTTCTTTATCAAAATATGTGGTAGAATTAGCGCGAAATCTGTTTGCATAGCAGTGGTTATGAAAAGAGAAAGTCGATTAAGAGAATCGATCAAAGCAGATAGGACCATTTGAAATGTTCATCGAGAAATGTTCGAAACTGAGAGAGCCGTATCCGAGAACGACGAAGCCAACGCAGCTCTAAAGCTGGGTTTAGACTAGGCAAGTCACTTGATCAACTCAGTTGAATTCAATTGGCTTCAAAAGTTGAGCCTGGTTCAACTTTTTTCAATTCAAGCGAGTTGATTAAGTCAGTTGATAGGCATGGTTTACACATTCAATTCGCGTTCAAGTCAGTTGAATTCAACTGACATGATCAATTGACTTGCCATATTTGAACCCAGCTTTATGACAGAGATCAGCATTGACGAGTTGAAAAACTCCATCCGAACGTCGCAAAAACGTAAATCACCAGGAATCGATGGTTTGCCGGTAGAGTTCTACATAGGAGCTGAATGAAAGGTGACACAGAAGGAAGAAGTGTTAGTTTGTTTACTAAAATGAATTATGCCCATTTTGTTATGGCAAGTTTTGCTATAAGAAATGCTCCTCGTGTTTATTAGGGAAATTCACATCAAAGGTTGATTTATTGAGTAGGAAATCAGTTTGGCACGGCATTTATGACCAGCATACACCTTCCGGTCGTATGAAACAGGTCGAAAACTGTCCAAATCCGACCATAAAATTTTTTGTTTTGAATTTCTATATGGCCAAATTGTGAACTTTTCGTGAACATTAACGGCAAAGAACTCACCAACACTGGGAGACAGTGAGCTCCTGCCCACAGTTTTTATGACCGAAAGGTGTATGCTGGTCACAAATGCCGTGCCAAACTGATTTTCTACGCAATTAATCAATCTTTGATGTTTTTTTTTTTTTTTAATTCTTTAGTTAAGAGATTTTTAGCCTTAGGCTAGTTCATCTCTAGCAATCTTTGATGTGAATTTCGCTAATAAACACGAGAAGCATTTATTATAGCAAACTTGCCATAACACCATGGGCATGGTTCATTTTAGTAAACAAACTAACACTTCTTCCGACTGTGTCACCTCTCTTACTCGCCTAGGATGGAGCGTATGTGCGCTGGTGACCTTTGCGTTGCGTATGCTGATGACATCCCGGTGATTGCCACGTCAAAGCACACGATCGAGCGTATTTATTTGCTGATTGGTAGTTTCGAGATCGTATCCAGGGCAAAGCTAAATCGGATGAAAACAGTGGCGATCGATGTCGCTTTCATCAATGGAGATCCACTGACGACACCAGGGCTGCAGACAAAGGAGAATGTCAAGGTACTGGGCGCTATTTTCACCAACTCAGTGCGGCTGATGGTAAAACTAAACTGGGACGCTTTATTATCCATGATCTCACAACTCATATGGTTGCATAACATGCGTTCCCTTTCCCTGCAGCAGAAAGTGCTACTGCTGAACATCTTCATCA